ATCTGCGCCGTCATCATCGTCCCCTGGCTTCCTGGTCTTCCTGGCCCATCGTCACTGCGATCAGACGCCCTTGCACGTGAATGCGAGGGCCTCCTCTGGAAAAGTGCGAACGTGGGACGACAAAGGGGACCACGCCACGGTGGTGAAGCAAAATTGGGCAGCCAGCCGAAGCAGGGTCACTTTGATGGCCGGCGTCTCATCCGACCCGAAGTGTGCGAAGCCAGGCGTACCTGAGATGTTTTTCAAGGGCACGGGCAAGAGAAGCAAAGTAGCACCCCAAACTCGCAACACACACCAGTGGGGCCCGAAAGGCCCTTACAAGGAGGAACGCGTGGTACATTTCATAAAAAACCTCGGACAAAATTTTGAAAACAAACACATCAACCTCCGCTTGGCGGGTGTTGGTCGTGGACAAGTTCGAAGCTCACATTGGGGAGGCCGTCGCGCAGGCCGCTTTAGCGAAGAAGTACATACTGTTGGTGATCCCAGGTGGGCTTACGGGGGAGGTCCAAATATGCGACACCGACCGCAATTACCCCACAAAGCTCGAATACAAATCCATCGAAGAGGCCTGGGTGCTACGCCGGCTGGCGATGCGCAAACTGTCCCCTGAAGACCAGGAAGCCAGGGGACGATGATGACGGCGCAGATCAAGCTCTGACGCCCTCCCGGGAGCTGATGAGCGCGTGGGCTCGCGAGGCCCTTCAGAAGGTGTCTGGGTCGTGAAACAGTTGGGGCAGCAGCTGTCCGTCAAAGGGGGGGTTCGGTGGAGGGAGGCGTGGTAGAGGATCATGAGTCCCAGGAGAGGGCTGGTGAATGAAGTGAGAATGGCTGGGGGGCACGCCTTTGCTGCCTGGAACTGCTCTCTTGTTGTTTTTTTGGCCAAGACCCCTCCCCGCATCCTGAACAATTTGGTGCGCAACCCTGCTTCGAGTCAGTGCCTGGCGACGATGTACCAGCCGTGCAAATCGCGCACCACTTCTGGAACCTTGAACGGCCTGCCCCCTCCAGGGAGACGACGTATAGCTTGCTTGCGCACAGCCCTGCCGGTGACAAGCTTCAGGGTGGCATAAAACCCGTTCTTGTGGTTATCCAGCGCGCGCTTCACGCTGACTGATTACACGCGCGAGGGAGGCCGCTGAGTCGAGAGGGGCCCCATCCTTGGAAAAAACGAACATACAAATGCCGCGGGTTACCCACGCGCGGGCTGTATGTTGCCCCCCGATTGTGCCACGAGAACTCGTTCCCCACGTTGTGACTCGTCTCGACCATCCTCCCTCCACCTGGACGCAGCTCGCCCTCTCAAAACAGTTCTATGTGTCCGAACATGTTCTCGAAATTGGTTTTGGCGTGGGACGCGTGCGCAAGACGCCAAATATGCCACTCTTGACTCTGGACCCCCCTCTTGAAAGCAACCAGGCCTTGAAAACTGCCGAGCAAAATTTGCGTCCGTAAAATCAGCCCGAAAATGGCTCTCACGATCGGCTTCGCGCCGTGCTCGGAAGCGTACTCGGCCAATGTCATCCTGAACCCTACCTGCGTGGTGGTGTAGCGCCCTTTGCCGCTATTATGTTTAGCTCGGTCCGCTTCCCTGGGCGCCTGCAAAAACATCTGCTCCCCTTCCCTGCTCAGATCAGATATGGAAGCGACATAAGGGGATCCCACCTGTCGCCTTTGAGTCCCGCGTTTCTTCGCGATCGTTTTCCTTGCCATGCACGCAGGGGTTGGCCAGGGTAGATCGGTCCCAGGGCGGATGGTGCACGCGTGCTCTACCCTTGAGCCCGGCTGGATGGTGAGAAACAACAGGGACAAGACGGGGGAAGTGAGGGGCCAAGGAGATAGAGAGTCAGCAGAAGCGAGAGAGATGGAAAGAGAGAGAGAGAGGAGAGAGAGGAACAAGGATAGAGACATTGGAGAGACAGAGAGAGAAAGCGAGAGAGAAATAGAGAGAGAGGGGGAACGAGAGAGAGCGAAAGAGAGAAAGAGGGGGCGAGACGGCATACACCACCCCCGCATTGCTCACACATGGTTGCGCGGCGCGGCATGTCAGACACCCTGTAGGCCATGAAGAACAACAGTGTGCCAACGGCTTTCAAGCGTATCGGCTACGCATGGCATTTGATGGGAAAGAAGACAAGAAGTATCTGAGCCAAACACATTACAACTGATGGGAGGAGCTTGGCATGCCGGAGTGTCGAAACAAGCTGCTCCAGCAGCAGGTGGCAGGCAAAGGTCCCAAAGACGTGGCCGCCCGAATCCAGTATTTCGATCACATCGATTCCGCGCCAGAGGTGGACGATCAGTGGGACATCGATTGGGAGGATGTCGTAGCGACACCAGAGACAACCACGACAGGACCACCCAAACTAACTCAGAAAACAGGGCACGTTCAGCGTAAAGCTACCAAGAAAGGTAAGGACAACATGGACCTGACGTGTGCCGAGGCCCTCCACGAGGCCAGGGACACAGATGTGAACCACGCCCAGAAGCTGTTGTCTTCGGCGAAAGATCCGTTGCTGAAGCGGGCATTGGGCATGTACCTCAACGAGGCCTCGCCGCCTGCAAAGCGTTCCAAAACAATCGACCTGGACGCATTCACGAAAGAGGTCCCCTGGCGGAAAATGAAGACGGGGGATATGTTAGCAGTGCGCCTCCAGAAGATGCCCGCCAAACAAAAACAAGAAGGTTTTTCTGAAGAAAGGCAAAACGAAGACCAGCAGCAAGGACTGTGGGGAGGCCTCCAAGCCTTGGGGGGGAGCCGACGTTGGAGGGTGGGAGTCGAGGTCAGGTTCGTCGATTTTACGTTACACTGAAGGGGAGAAACTCCAGGAGGAGTCAGGAACGATGACGAAACATAAGCGAAGACGACTGCGGAAAGATCAAGGAGAAGCGACGATGACGCTCTCCCAATCCTGCCCCCACTCGTGCCCCCCGCCGATTCTCCTCAACCAACCTCCCGCTCTTCCTCCCCGTCTGTTCCTTCCACCCTTCATTCACATCATCTTTCTACGTTGCGTTTCTCCCTGCTCATCCTGTTAGCTATGAGGATCCTCCTCGTCCGCCTCTTCCCCTCCTTAACGCCATCTTCCAGCTGTCTTCCTCATCCTTCTACTGCTGATCCTACTCCGCAACCTCCTCCTCCTCTTCCTCCCCCTCCTCCTCCTCTTCCTTCTCCTTCTCCTTCTCCTTCTCCTCCTCCTCCTCCCTCTCCTTTTCCTCGCACCCTCAATGTCCGTATCATGTTACTCGCCTCCCCCGTTCCCATATCCTCCTCTCTCTCCCTCTCTCTCTCTCTCTCTCCCCCCACGCGCTTCTCATCGTCCCCCTCCCAACCCGTTCTTCAACACCCCCTCCTCCTGATCCCTTCCTCCCCCATCCAATTCGATTTGTCCCGTCACCCTTCCTCGCCCCCCGTCTGTTCCGCAACGTTTCGCGCCCATCCGCCACGAGGAGGTGCAGAAAGCCACAACCCGCGGGTGGGAAGTCACCGTCTTCACATGTGGGGGAGGGGACGCAAAGGATGGCGAGACATACAAGGTCTGGCGCGATTCGAAGGGGACCGCTTTCCGCACGAAGAAAATTGACGTCAAGGCGGGCTTCAAGGGCAAGTGAGGGAATGCGCATAGTAGATTATGCGAGTTGGGGGCAGCTCACGCGAGGCAGAACACATCGCCAACTGCATCACGCTCGTCGTCACAGTCGCCGACGCTGTGGTTCACACTCGTTGTCACCGCTGCTCTTTGAGGTTTCGCAGAATTCCATGCCAATCGCTTTCCAAACCGCCTTTCGCTTCAAGTATTACTTTGTTGTAAGGAGCGGGGTCGGTGCGCTGGGTAGGGCCGTTGTCCTCCCATGAGGTTTCACGCGCCATGGCCTTTAGAGCCAAATGGATTTTCGACGTACGTGGGGCTCCTCGCACTTTATGGCCTGCTTTGTTGGGGGTCGGGCTTGTATCCCTCCTGCGTTTCCGTGCGTCTTGCAGATGCTCTGCGGGGGAACATGGATACTTCGCCCTTGCGCCCATCACGTTACTCAAAAATGTGGTCTGACGTCCACCTTGGCAACGACGTCTACTTATCGTCACCGTTATCCCCGAAGTTACCACCGTCATAAACGATCGCGCTCGCAATGTTGCTTGGAGAGAGGTCAGGAATATTCAGGCGCCCTCTGCGGAGAGGGGGTCCGGAAAATTCTGTCGCGAAAGAAAGGGGGGTATTTTTCTTGGGGGGGGAAGGGGCGATTATCAAGAGATCCAATATGAGAAAGACATCCGGAAACGGGCCATCAAAGTCGGTCAAGTTGCCGCTCATTGACAAATTTACGCGCGCTCCAGTCCGACGTCTTGGAGCCTCGTGCCAGACGTCGAGCGCAAAATAATCAAAAGAGACACCGTCGGTGCCAGGTGTGCGATGGAGGTCAGCGCCCCGGTTAGGGTGAGGAGTGTACACGTTACTGACAGTATGCACTCGCGCAAACTCATTTTACGAGATGTTATGTCCGACAACCGAGTGCCTGGGGATGTGGGACGCACATGGACATACTAATACTATATGTCCTCCTTGGAGGCGCGCGTCCGACCCGAACATATAGTATATCCATCTTGTAGTATATCGTTTCCCGAGCGGTGTGGCCAGAAAGCGCCCGCCACGACGCATATACTATAAGATTTCTCGGTGCGCGCGTCGCCCCTGGGGGGGCGCGACGCACATATAGTATAAGTATGTTGGGGTGTTGCCGACCCAAGCCGCCCCCGAGAGACCCCGTCGGGAGGGCCTTCGCGCCACCCGTCGGCCCCCGAGGTGCCATCGTCTGACGCCCTGTCCACCGTCGGGGGCCACGGGGGGGATAAAAACCGCGACCCCCAACGGCCCCCGCGGAAGTGGCCCACATCTGCGAAACCCAACGCCGGCACCCCAGGATGGGGTGTGCAGAGGATGGGCAGCAGGGGGTGGGTGGGCAGGTGGGCGACGACAACGGCGACCGACGGCGGCAGCGGCGGCCTGTCGTCGCCCGTCCGGTGCCCCCAATAGCGGCCGCAGAGCTGGCGCCTGCGCCAAGAGGGGGCCGCGGGCAGAAGGAGGAGGAGGGAGGGCAGAGAGGAGGGGGGGGGGAGCACCGGGAGAGGGGAGGGACAGGAGGAGGGGGAGGAGGGGAAGGAGCACGGAGGGGAGCGGGGGCGGAGGGGAAGGAGGCGGGGAGGAGGAGGAGGGTGAAGAGGAGGAGGTGGAGGGCGGGAGATGGCGCGGAGAGGGGGAAGAGGAAGCAAGGGAGGGGAGGAAGACAAGCTAGGTGCGCTCGCGTCAACATCTGACATCCTACCCCTCCCTCCCATCCCTTCCCATTGAGCTACTTCATTATCCTCTCACCGAATCGGGCTTCGCATCAGACCCTGTTACCTAAGAGGGAAAGGAGGAGGACGACGGCGCGATGAAAACGAAGACGACGACGACGAAGACGACGACGACGACGACGACAACCACGACGACGACGACGACGGCGGCGACGACGACGACGACGACGATGAGGACGACCGGCGAGGAAGACGACGACGACGACGACGCGACCGCGCCGGAGCGGCACCCGCGCCAGCTGCCCGCTGCCGTTACGCGCGTCCCCCACCCGGATCTCAAATTTCTGCAGGGGTGAAAGGAGAGTAGCATTCATATTGGGTAATGGTAGAGTGGGTCCGATGTCAGAGTTGTGCAAGTGCATTCATATTGAGTAATGGTAGAGGTACCAACGCCCGTCAGACATGGGACCAACGCTGCAGCGGGAGCACCATTGTTGAAGAGCCGAAGAACGCCACTGGAGCGGAGCATATCATAGCATGGGGCCGGGGACCGTTGCACTGCAGCGGCAGCACGATTTGGAACGACCAGCGGCGCGGAAAATAGGACGAACGCTGCAGCGGGAGCAACATTCTGAAGGACCGGAAAGACTCGGATTTTCAAAAACATAGATGAAAACCAAACTCCCGGGAATCCTGTGCGGAAAAGGACGCCGCCCAAAAGGGGGGGGGCTTTCTGCGGCCCCAAAAATCAACGAATCGACACCGGATGTGTAATCACCTCCAATGTTTTTGCCGGGGATCATTTTCTAGATTTGGGGCTTCTTAAAAAGGATCGAAAACGTCGGCGCTGCAGCGGGAGCACGTTTTGGAACAACGAGAGGCGCAGAAATTGGGCCAGCGCTGCAGCGGGAGCACGATTCGGAACGAGCGGGAGCGCGGAAATGAGGCCAGCGCTGCAGCGGGAACACGATTCGGAAGGAGCGGGAGCCCGGACCAGCGCCTCAGCGAGAGCAAGTGGGAGAGTAGTATATCATATTGTGTAATTGTGGAGGCGAAGGGGCAGGAAGGGGAGCAGGGAGGAACAGGGAGGGGGGAGAATGGTTTTTGACTCCACCCACGCCCTCTCCCCTACGTTCGACGGTGGGCCCGTACAGGGTGGGCCAATCTAGCCGTGTACCCCGTGAAGAGGTGGAAGTCGACGCGTGCCTCCGCCCCACGAGCAGCCCGAAGGCGCAGAGAGGCACGTGGTACGACAAACAACAAAGCTATAGACTCTCGCAAGAACACCGAATCCCAACCGAGACACATCCAGGACAACCTCTGGCTCGATCTCGAAGTACCACTCAAGGCACATCTTGGACAACGTCTGGCAGGAGCTCGAAATAAGTCACAAGACACATGTGGACAACCTCAAGCATGAACACGGAACACCACCACTGCACTCCGCGATCAACATCAATATCATATCATTATTACACAAATGCCGCTTGACGCTCCACCAACCACTATTCCCATTGTTGTGCTGAATGGGTATCTGGCCTCGTGCGGTACACGAGTCTATTGTGGCCGTCTCTCCCGTGAAGGACATTATGATGGTGAGCTTGTTTCCCTGGGTCATTATCACCTGATGTGGACGTGGTGCCCGTTGTACAATGAGAGCTGCCAGGAATAACGGTGGCGCCACTCAAAGATCGCCATTCCGTCGAGAGCACGTCGTCCGAGGGCCAATGCACTACACGTCGAATGGGCACATCACCATGATCGAGTAAAACCAGGAGGTCCCGCAGGTCGGACAACGAAATCAGCGGGCCACTCAAGTTCCCCAGGGATCAGACAATGAGAGACGATGCTGCCAATATCCAAATCATATTTGAACTCGATCTGTCCAAATGAAAGAAAGTCGGCCATGCACCGTTCTGCCAGAATCGGGTCGGGCGAAAGGGGGGGATAGCAAAGGGGGGGGTTGAGAATCAGCTCACGTAGCCGATTTTCCCGGCGCCTCCCGGCGCCGGAGGCGGCTATGTATCGAGGAATGGGCCCCTCGGTGAGGCCAAAATCAGCTGCGTGCAGCAAATTTCTTACCCCCCCCTTTCCCAATCCCCCCCTTTCGCCCGACCCGACAGAGGCTGCAGCTCACCACGGCATTGGCCCGTCACGACAAGGAGCCTCCCGCCCGCCCGAAAGAGATCAAGGTGGCCCCCCGCTCGTGTCCCGCCAAGCCCGACGGACACGAGGCAACGGCCGAACAGGCTCGACATTTTGCCCTTCACCGGCCCCAGGGACGATCTCAACAGGAGGCTAAGGCACAGAGGGAAGAGAACTATGCACATGCACCGATTCTGGCCAGGCCCATCCTGAGCCCAGGATCGGTGCATACGCCCTCCTACCTTGGCCAGGACGGCATATGCACCGATCCTGGGTCAAGGATGGGCCTTGCCAGGATCAGTGCATGTGCATAGTTCTCTTCGCCCGAAGGCACTGACTCTGGTGGCATCCGGGGATGCCTGAAAGAGCACTGCCACTATCGGCCCGCGGAGGCACAACGCCAGGTCGGTGTGAGATACGAGATCGAGGGCGGACGTGTCGGACGGGAACTTTTGGGATGTAGGGGAGCCCGGCAAAACCAGGACCCAGAACTCCATTAGAGTGATGCCGAGGAACTGTGGGAGAAGAATCAGACCAGGTCCGTGGATCGGCGCCATACTTGTCCCAAGGTTCCTCTCCCAGCTCCTGATCGGCTTGTGCCCGATGGTGAACGCGGCGACCGACACGACCATCGGGGTGATCATCATGACCACCGCTCTCATTGCTGCCACCAAGAGGTCCCCCACCAGGAGGCCGACCCGCCCGAGGTACTGCAGCACCTGGGCGCATGGTCAGCCAGATGCCAACTGCGCACGACCCATCAGAATGAACAAAGGCCACGACCCACGTCATGCCGAACACCGTCCAGCCAACAGAGTGCGTCCAGGATCACCAGCTGCATGTGCTCGGTGATGGGGGCCAGGCGCTCGGCGACCTTCACGGTGATCTTTACCTTCGCCTTGTCAACCGCCGCGGCGCCGCCTCCAGCGGTGTGAACGGCAGCCCCGCCCAGGATCTGCTGTCGAACCCAGGCCAGACGATCGAGCACCACCATGTGAGGGCACGATCGGCGCAGGTGCGCCGAGGAAGCTGCGGGGACGGAGGAGGAGCAAGGGAGGAAGCAGGCAAGGAGGAGGAGGAGGAGGAGGAGGGAGAGGAGAAGGAACAGCGAGGAGCAGGGAGAAGGGGGGAAGGGAGGAATGAGAGGAAGAACGAGAGAGAGAGAGAGAGAGAGAGCGAGAGTGTGAGCAATGGGAGGGATAGAGAGAGGGAGGAACGAGGGGGAAGCGGAGGGGGAGAAGCAACGAGGTAGCAGGCGAAGGGGAGATGGAGGGAGGACAAGCAGGGACGAAGGGAGAGGAGACGGGAGGAGTAGAGGGATCGTGGAGGAGGGGGGGCGAGGGAGTAGGCGAGGGAGGGAGAGAGAGAACATGACGATCTGAGAGGGGGAAGACAAAGGAGGCGGAGGAGGAGCAGGAAGAGGAGATGAAACGGGGAGGAGGCGAAAAGGGAGTAGGGGAGTGGGAGTGGAGGGAGCAGGCGAAAAGGGAGTGAGGGAGGAGCAGGGAGGAGAAGGACGGAGGGAACATATCAGGATGAGGAAGAGTAGGGAGAAGTATCGCCCTGCGTCGGTGCACTCGGATGGACTCCTGACCCAATCAGCGGGGGACAAGGAAGAGTGGGCATGCTTCTGAGTCATCTAGCGTCACGCTTACCGCCCCGCGATTCGCGCCACGCGGTTGTCGTCGCACCCTCGCGTCGCCGTCCTTACAAAAGCGCCTCTCTGGCCCAAGCCGCGACGTGCGAAACGCATTAATCTTCGCGCCCCCGCGGATGACCCAGACGTGTCGACGATGGCTACTGTGTTTTGTTGAGCGTATCTTTTATTCACGGCGATATCGGACATTTTGGGGGGAAGGGGGAAAACGGGAGGGGCATAACGTAACGCCTCCCCCAGACTGTGGTGCCGGACGCACTTCGGCAATGCCGGGGACGCACTGAAGGGGGGAACGTCACGTCATGGCGGGGGGGAAGGGGGGGGAGGGTAGGGGGCATAACGCGCATTATGGCCCAGAGGATAAAAAACAACTCTGGCTTCCACTGGGGATCCTTCATGAGAGCTGGGGATTCCCAAAGGTCTTCTGAGACGCACAAGGACATACTAGCACAATGTGCTTCTGTTGGGGGCGCGCGACTGATCAGAATTTGAAGCAGGCAAATACCAATGCGCTGCGGCAAGACAGCGCACACCACGGAGCTTGTACTAGAAGATATCGGAACGCACGTTTAGCCACCACTGGGCCGACGCACACAGAAATAATACAAAGATGTTTGGGACATGCCGATAATCGAAGGCTACTCGAGGTCAGGGAGAGCAGCAAGCCAGATCCGCCAACCCAGCCCCCCACGAGCACATTGGTCACAGAGGCTGTCGTTACCGCTCTTTCGAAATCTCTCCATGTGCCCAATGGGTAAGTGCGAGGCGCACAGGACACTTTGCCCTCCCGGCGGCCTCGATGTCACAACGCCCACTCGCCCCCCTGAGTCGAGGTGGGATGAATGAGCGAACTTCCATGGGGCCAAGGTCACTTAGGCGTCACAGAATCACCGCAGTGCGCCCAATTATGATAGTGAAAGCCATCGTGCAGAACACCAATTTGGAGCAACTATCAA